TTGGGTGAATGCAACTAAGAGTCAGAGTGCAAGGGAGTTCAATTGATGTGGTTTATACAGGTCAATTCCAAAAGTCACGTAGGGTAGAAAAAGGTGGAGACTAGATCTCAAGTGGTCAAACAGGGAATACTGTACATACCTATTATATTACTTTTGGGAAAAAAATAATTTATTTCTCATCAGGGTTCTCACAGACACCATAGGAACGCTGGGATACCACCAAAATAGTTCCAATATTGCATCCATAATAGAGGTAAAGTAGCCTTTCCTAAATTATGTTCATGGGAGCTGGGGAGTTCCAGCCATTATCTGTAGATATCCCTGCATGTCTCTTCCCAAGTATCATTTCCTGCTCAAATATCTGTCATGGTGACAGTCCATTATAGATTCATGGGGGAGCATACTGGGGCTTTTAAGAAAAAATGAAAAGTAATCTTGATGAAGAACAAAGCTGGAGGCATCACACATCCTAATTCCTTAATTTTCAACTATATGATATAGCATCAGTAATCAAAAGAGTATGGTCTTAGATTAAAAACAGACACATACATCAGTGGAACAGTTTTGGAGCTAGGAATAAACCCACCCACCAGGTACAATCAATTTATGACAAAGGTACTAACATACAATGGAGAAAGGACAGTCATTTCAATAATTGGTGTTGGGAAAACTAAATATCACATGCAAAAGAATGCAACTGGACTGTTATCTTAAACAATATACAACAGTAAACTAGAAAAAGAGTTTAAAAGACTAATGTAAGGTAGCTCCCTGGCCAGCCGGAAATCGAACCAGCACTGCAGGGCTGCAGACAGCTTCACAGCGCTGTGCTCAACCTGCTGTGCCACCAGGGAGGCCCCATTGTGACTATTTTGAATTAATTCCTGCTAGAATGGGGGAAGGGAGTAAGGAAGGGAAGTGGAGGAAGGAGCCATTTGTATTGATGTATGAGCTGACATTCATCAAAGGAGGCTGACGTTAGTGGGAACTTACACTGTTCTGAAGACTTGGGAAAAAAATTTTTCTGAGGGGTTTGCATTGCCTTTTACCTCCCCCAGTGAAATAGAAAGATCGAGTCTGATCTGACTGAATCTTCTTGGGGAGCCAGAACTAAATTGTGTCCATGCTCAGAGAAAGTAGGCCCAAAGGCTGGAGGGAAATGCACTGCTGTAAGCATAAAATATAGAAATCAGGTCATCTGCAAGCTGGCATACAACTAGCCAAGGTGGAAAGACATGCTAAACAATTTTAATAGCATGAGGAGAAGTTAAATTATTTAGGACTTTTTTTTTTTTGCTTCTAGTTCTAGCCAAGATGAAATATTGCCATTCCTCCAGGGCTCCTTCTTACGACTAAAAAATTCCAACCTCCCACTACCCCCAACAGCAGAAGACTCTGAACGCTGGAAAGGAAGATGGAAGCGGGAACTCGAGACTTGAGGGGTGACATGACGCTGTGCTCCCTGCTTCCCTGACTGTTCTCCACATATCCTGAGCAGGACACGACAGCCTTCCAGCAAACCGACAGAGGGCACAAGTAATCTCCCCGCCGCCCTAAGAAAGCCTGTTCCCCAAACCAAATGACAGCTCGTCTTTGACAATACCTAGCTCATACCTGCCAAACACCAAATGCAAAAATGCACGCCCAATCTGGTTTCAGAGGGCCCCAGCAGCAAGCTGAAATCTTCCACAACAATCCCGACAACCCCCATAAAAACAGTCAGTGGTATCGTGTTTCCTGTTGGTGGCACCAAGTGGAATCTCATCTTGTATTCCATGCTTTGCAGAAGCAGGTGATGGCCAGCTAGCCCACCCATGTTAATGCAGGTGCGGCTGAGCTGGGGACCCATCTGCCACTCCCTACTCAGTAGATCAGGTGATATTTTGTGCCCTAAGTTTCATCGAGCTCAGCCTAAACCCATCAGCAGTAACGAGACTTGCTGAGGTTGTGTGAGTTAAATCAACTCAGCAACTACACTTCCTTTCTGCCTGTCCCAGGGGTCAGCATGATTCCAGATAGGTGAAACTTTATTTTTAACTGGCAGCAACAAGACTAAGGGAGGTGGTGTGAGTAGAGTTGACAGATGCTCTAATTTGCCCCACTGCTGGTTTCAGTGGCCCCCAGTGGAGAACTTATTCGCACCCCCACTGGCAGCAACAGAATGAGGATAAACACACAGTAAGAGGCAGGACTAGTCGGCATTCCTGGGCTCCTGGATCTCACCCCTGTGCCAGGACGTAGGGAACTGGGTACCCACACCCAACTAGCAGAGGCTCGCAGAGGCATCACAAGGTGTCAGTAAGCCCAGCGTGGAGCTGAGCTTGTTATACCCACAAGGAAGAAATTAAGCATTTCGAGTTGGTGCCCACAATCTCATAACACAACATGCGTGCTAGTCATTTATGCTGCTGCTATAACACAATGCCACAGGCGAATTGGCTTATGAACAACAAATTTCTTACTCACGTTTCTGCAGGCTCGAAGTCCAAGATCAAGGTGCCGGCTGATTTGGTGTCTGGCAAACCTACTTACCTGGTTCAAAGATGGGCATCTTCACTGTGTGCGCTCCTGGAGGAGGGACTGTGTGATCTCTCTGGAGTCACTTTTCTATGGCATGTACCCCATTATTGAGATATCTTCCCCTATAAACAAATCACCTCCCCCAAACCCCCACCTCCAAATACCACCACATGGGGGATTAGCTTTTAACATTTGAATTTAAAGCACAGGAACATTGAGCAGTTAGCTACATCCCCAAGGCCATGATACAGGACAAACCCAAATCAGTCATCATCCCAAGAAAGTTACAACACAAATGGGCAAAAGCAATCAACAGATGTCAAAGTCAATACAGTGGTTCCCCATCCACCGTGCGTTCAAACAGGCAATCAGCAACAAGGGCAACTGGAAAACCCTGAAGACTTAAGTAACGCACTTCCAATTAAGCTTTGGGCCTAAAAGGAATTCTCAGAAAACACAAATACATGGAGTTCAATGATAGTGAAAACACAACATGGCAAGTAAAAATGGCAACAGGGCGAGCTACATAGGAGGCAGCTGAAGCAACTCTGAGGTAAATTTACATCACGATGTCTTTATATTAGAAAGAATCACTGAAATCACTACTCTAATTTCTTTTTTTGGGGGGTGAACTTCCTGTTTGCCTCCATTTTACTCTAGTTTCTTACCTCAAGACATTAAAAAATAAGAGCTAAGTAAAGACCATGCAAGTAAAAAACAAACAGAAGGAGCAGCAATTAGTAAAACTGAAAGCAAAAAGCAAGACAAAAGATCAGCAACGCAAAATAGCTGATTCTTTTCAAATATCAATAAAGTTGACAAACCTCTAAAAAGACACAAAATTCCAATAATCAAGAACAGCAAAAACAATTTTACTACAGATGCTGCAGCCTTAATAAGGATAATATAAAGAAGAAAATGATAATAAGGGAATACTATGCACAACTCTACACCCATAAATTGCTAATAAAAGAAACAGACAAATTTCAGCAAACCACAGACTATGGAAATTCACCCAAGATGAAATATGCCATTTGAATAGTCCTATAACCATTAAAGAAATTTAATTTGCAATTAAAAAGCTACTGCAAAGGAAATCTCCAGGCCCAGATGGTTTACAGAAAACTACCGAATATTTAAAGGGGAATTAACTCCAAATTTACAAGTTCTCTTCCAGAAAATTGAATAGAAAGAAACTCTCCCCACATCACTTTATGATACTAGTGTTACTCGGCTACCAAAACCAAAGATATTTTAAAAAGAATGAAAAAATTTGTAAGTCAATATCCCAAACAAACATACATGCAGAATTCCAAAATAAAAACAAACCAAAAAAATCACAGAAAATCAAATCCAGCAAAGAGAAATTATTACCAGGAGCAAGTTGGTTTTATTCTGGGTGTGCAACATGAGTTGAATATTTGAAAAAAGTCATTGCAATTCACCATATCAATAAGATTGAAAAGAAAAACTGCATAACCATATCACTACATGCAGAGCAAACGTTTGACAAAATCCCATGCCTGCCATGATTAAAAATAAACCCAAACTCTCAGTCCGTCAGGAATAGAGGACGCTCGCCGGTCATCACACAGAGCCTCCTGCAGCCCAGAACCAGGGATGGGGCACGAAATCCTTCTTACACTTGAAATCTCTTTTGACTTACCTTCGGCTGCCTCTCTTCTGTTTTCTGATACATCCCCTCTGACTTTCCTTGGTCTCCTATTTACAGGAAAGCATGTGATCATATTGAGCCCACCTGGATAACGCAAGGTAATCTCCTAAAAGTGCAGCCACCTGATCAGTGACCTTAGCCCTCTCTGTAATGTTGCCTAGGTTCATGCTTGATTGAATAACCAGGCAATGTGGACCTTGGAGAGAAATATTTAGATTTATGCCTATTACCACTGTTGGGATACCCGGACGAATTTCTATATGAATAGGAAGTTTTTTTTTTTTTAATATAACCTTTTATATTTTTACTTTTTTTCCCATTGGGTTGCAACACTGCATGTGATTCAAAGACACAAGTTCACCCCTCCTCAAATGCACATAACCACACCCCCCACCAAGGCACCCTCAGCCCCCAACCACAGTCCCTGAGGCCTTTCTCTTCTTTGTGTTACCCCTTCATCCTACCCATCTGGTCGTCTCAACTCCACAGTGATATTTCTAAGCTTTCCTGTTGCTTTGGTTTTGTCTTTTTGTTTCTTTATATTCCACCTATGAGTGAAACCATCCGATATTTGTCTTTCTCCTTCTCGCTTGTTTTACAGCATTATCACCTCCAGTTGCATCCATGTTGTCCCAAATGACAAGAATTCATCTTGTGTACAGGATTCCACATAGAATAGTTTTGCAACATCTCATCAATAGTCCAGTATGTATATACACATCTTCTTGACCCACTTGTGTCATTGGGCACACAGCCTGTGTCCTTAACTAGCGCTGTGGTGAGCATAGGAGGGCAGGCTTCCCTTCTAGTTGGTGCTTCACACTCTTTGGGGGAGATACCTAGGAGTGGAATTGCTGGTTGGTGCGTTTGTGTGTTTGTTTTGTTTGCTTTTATTTAATATTTAAAAATATTAAATATTTTCAGACACCGCCATACTGTTTTCCATAGAAGCTGGACCAGTCTACATATCCAACAACAGTGTGCAGGGGTCTTTTAAATCCACATCCTCACCAGCACTTGCTGCTTCTGGTCTTTTGGACCTGGGCCATTCTCACAGGGGCGAGGTGGTAGCTCTTTGTGTTTTTAATTTGCAGGGATATGAAGTCTTAATGGGTGAATTCTACTTCGACTCCTACCATTTGCTCCCTTCCTATATTTAACTATTTACTGATTGAATGACATGTGCGCAGGATGAGTGATCCGTGCTAGCGGAAGGATGGAGCTGTGAACGAGAGGTGAATAAGAAATGTTGGCCTGGCTGGTTTGGTGGAGGGGACAGAGCCTGTGCACATATGCAAGATCATTTTTAATAATGTCAGAAGAAATAAAATCTTAAAAAAAAAGAAGCACTCTTTGCCCTTGTGGATATAGTGATCCTGTGCCAAATACTAAGAGGTAAAATTTTGTGGTGCACCCCAAGATGTAAAGAGATGGAGCACATCGGGAGGGGAGCCACGCAGGCTAAAGAGGGGGCCCCTGAGACACATGGAGAGAGAACAGCATCTAGAAGCTGCAGCCCCCATGGCGGAGGGAACTAACCCACGGTGATCTCAGGCCTAAGGTAACATCTAGGCCTGCTGGGTGGACGCCGATGACTCAGGGCAGGTGAAGGCTGAGTGGAGATCAGAGGCACCAGCAGCAAAGCCCTGCAGGACAAGCTTGAAGGGGAGGTTGGAGAAAGCCCTGCGCTATTTCAGATTTCTGCTCCTCAGTCCTCGCTGTTTCTAACTTGAAATAGGGTAGATAAACATTTGTGTTTGATAAGTGTAGGGTAAGGAAAAATGTCAGGCTTTTCTGCCCTCCCGCCATCAGGATAGATGACAGATCCTGGCGGTCCTGAATGCATGCCTGATGGCGGGCACCTGGAGCAGGGTGTGGGCACAGGTAGATGGGATTCACCTGGGCTGAGACTCAGCTTTTTAAGGGGGGGCGTCACGGGGACGCCAGCAGAAGCCAAGAATGAACAGAAGCCGAGAGAGAAGCAGAGAAGGCCGGAGAGCCCAGATAGAGTGGAGACTTGCTGGGGGCTGGGAGGCCTGCCAGCCTCCCGGCCCCCCAGCACCCCTGCCTGCCGTGTACTGGGTAAATCCCAATAAAAGACCTGCAAAAAGCTACTGAGGACTCTGACTCCTCCTTGACCCGGTCTGCTGGGTCAGAAAACCTGCCCTGTGTCCATTCCTGCCCCTACAATAAGCAATAATAGTCAAAGTCATGCTGAGAAGTAATACGGCAAGTGCTGTTGATGATAGGGTCCCTGCACCCCCCTTCTGTCCCCCCGCTCCTCCGCTCCCTTCATCTCCCCTTTCTTACTTTAACTGTCAGGCAAAATAGGAAATTGAGGGTTAGGTGGCATTTCCTTTCACAAACAAAACAGACACTTCCCTCCCTATGACCTCGGAGAACGTACCTGAGTGTCCATCACCCGTGCAAATCCCTGTCGCGCCCAGTTTTCTGCAGTTCACACTGCCGTGACCCTGTTTTTCTTCCTAAAATGAAATCTTCCTCCACTGCCACTTTTCTTTTCAACTTCCTGGACATCACAGTGGGAGTAACCATGACACTGACTCCTGCAGGAACACAGTTTATGGATTTTTTTAAAAAAAGGCGCATGAAGAGATCCAAACCAGCACCAAACTCCCCGGTGCCAACTCAGAAACCAGGGCACATAGAATCCAACTTGAGCAACACTCACAACATGCTAGAGAGATTGTTTTAGGTGAAATGTCAGCCACAATTACTTTCAAAATGATTTAAGGCTTATTCACACAACCATTGCAAAATGAGACCAGATTAGAACAGAGCCTATCTTGATACTCAATTCCGGAATTGCTTCTTCCAGAAAGTCTCCTCTGACAGTGATCTCTTTCCACTCTTTTTTAAAAAAAGATTTATTTATTTGTGCATATGAGAACTGGGGTGTAGGCCAGAGGTGTGGGGGGGTGAGAGGATTCACCAGAGATGGTGGAGAGCAGAACAGCAGATCCATTGAAATACACTGCTGAGGGGAGCAGCGGGGAGACAGGAGAGGTCTGCTGCACCATGTGGGTCAGCTCCTTGGCCGGGGATCGAACTCATGCTGCAGTGGCTGGTGATAGCTTGATAGCGCTGTGTCGTTAGCCCCTGCGCCACCAGGGAACCCCGCTTTCCACTCTTAAAGCTGAGTTAGATGTTTCTCTGTCTCCACATAACACCCTGTGCTTCCATCTATTTTGGCATGTGTCTCCTAATGCTTAGAGACTACTGAGTCTAACACAGACTTTGCCTTCAGGATTTGGCACTCATTTTGTGGCCAGTCAACAGTCCTTGTTAAATGCTTAGCATAGCCTATGTTCTTAGTAACCAGCTGCTGACAGCTATACGCAGGCACACAAGTAGACCCTAAGTTTCTTGATAGTGAAGGAAAAATAGAAGATATTGTTAACTGTGACTTTTGGGGACTCTTCTGTTTCCCTTTCAGAACCAGACACACAGGGAATCACATCTGCTCTTTTGAAGTCCTCTCCTCTCTCAGCTTCTTGGTTTTCTGCCCACCTCACTGCTGGCTTGCAGTGTCTTTGTAATTTTTTTCTCCTTCTAAGGAGGTTGCAGTGCCTCTCGATTCTATCTTGAGTCACATTCCTCTGTTTTTCTTTTTCATGTTTTTTCCCATGCATCAATTATGTTCACAAATCTCAAAGATACAAATTTAATCCATGTGCCTCTTCTCTGAACTCCAGACTCAAATACCCCATGGTCCACCTACATCTCCAATTGAATCCTTAATATTGATTTCAAAAGTAACCTTCCACATGGGACTTCTTACTCCTCTTCAACCTCCCAAGTCTTTCCTCCCTCACCCCAATATTCTCAAAAAGTGGCAGCCATTAGAATGTCCCATATAGATCTCCAATTACAGGAAATATAATTGGCCAAGCCCTCAGATGACAAGCCCTGAAATCCATCCACACAATGTGCAGTGGTACACTTCCTACGGTGGCTTCCAGACTAAAAGATGTGAACCAGCAGCTAATGCTTGGGGTGAACACCAGAGGCCTGTGCTTATTGGTGGCAGGATATAAGGAATCCTGTACCCCCTACATGCAAGAGCAGACATAGCAGATCAGGTTGAAGACCCAAACGTGAGAGTCCCGGAGCTCCAGATATGTTTCAAGTCTAGCAGAGGAGGTCAGCTATGCAAAGTTCAGAGCTTCGCGGTCCTAAAACACTCGGTGTTTTCTACTGCGTGAATTTTGTCACTTTCTAAGAAGTGCAAACTTTGGTTGAACAAAACCTTTCACCTAAGGAAAAGCAATATTATATCATGTGGATGTAATTTTGATAACGGGAATTGGAGAGAAACATAGAACCTAGTTCAACTATGACTTTATAGGTGAGATGATGTTTTACCCCCCACAGAAGCAGGAAGTCCACCACCGACAAAACATTTTCACGGGTAAAATGATAGCAGGGTGCATGGGGAGAAGGGAGACAGAGGCAACACGAGCCAGCAATCTACGCCTTTATGAGGAGCCAATGAGGTTAGATGATTTACATATTTGATTATATAAATTAAATAAGCTCATTATCATCAATACTTTGGAATATCTATCAGAGATAACAGTACTTTTACTTTGGCTTGCTATTTTTCGGTCTTTCTTTTAGAGTAAATTGGATACATGATTCCATATTCCACTTTATTCCCGCTTACATCATAGAATTAATATTTCCCCATCTTTTCCCAAGTGAAATTTAAAGTCCTGAATTTTATGTGACAATCGAATGTACTAGAATTTATATTAAACCTTTCCCCATAGTTAAATTTTGAGAATTTTTGACAGTTGCTATAGATTGCTCTTCTTTCCATAAATACAATTTTTTTTTTTACTAATTTATAGGTCTACCAGCAATATTTGGTATTTGTTTCTTTATATTTTGCTGTCAAGGATCATCATTTAGTTTAGTACCTTTCATAATTCAATAGTTGAAAAATCACAAATAAGTACTACTTAATTATTTCGTATCTCTTTGATTACAATTTTCAATACATTTAACACTTAAATTGTAGTTTGGGATGTATATGCCCATGCCTTTTTTAGTTCTATTTTTCAGATCAGCATCTCAGGTTTTTTCTTATTAATATTTAAAGTTTTAATTGTGCTGCTTTAAAAATGTCTAGCCAAATAGCATAAAAAGCAAAAAATCTTCCTTTCCCATATATGTCTACTGTTAATATTTTTCTTGATGACACAATTTTATTTCATATGACATTTTTTGAGCAATAATCGATACTGGATTGATAGGCAGGGTTCTTATTGCAGACTCCACCATATCTTTTTGTGTGACCTTGAAAAAGTAGAGAACAGATTTTATTGTAAAGCAGACACAGCAGGTGTCCACGCATCCATCCATTCACTCATTTATTCATTCTTAAGTCTATTATTTTAATGAGTACCGCATGGGGAGAACTTGGAAATTTTCCACCCCTACCTCTCTCCCAAAGCTGCTGGATGCCTGAAATTTAACCATTAGAGACTCATTTTGGAGATGATTGATCTGGGGACAGAACTCTCAAAGGTTCAACTGAAAAGAGTCAAGCAACAGGCCCATCGCTGCCTCCTTCCTCTCCCCTCCACACGCCAAGCAGGGCTTCGGGGGATATGCCTTTTCTGCAGTTCCTCATTATTTTCATTTCACAGCTTCTTGATTTATATTAAGAGGCACAGGAGATTTATTCTGGGGTAAAGAAAGGTTGCTTTCCTGAAATGAGAAGCTCTAGTAAATGTATTTCATGCCAGTCATCTCACAGGGCTTGGGTAGGGACTCTACAGCCTTTGTCCTGAAAAGGAGCATCTTCCCCTGAGGTTTCAGTGGGTCCATGACATGGGTGAGCGTGTCTCAGGACTGGGTTTCAGATGACAGGACCAGGATCACAACAGAGGCAAGGGGACGAGGTGTGCAAGTGCAAGTTCACATCCTGGGCTTAAAATTCTGTCCATCATAGATTTTTTTCATTGATTTAAAATTATTTATATATTTCAGTGAGTCCATAATCTAAATTCCTGAGTTTCTTGATGGGCTCAAAATCTGTGCTGGGTTGACTGTCTCAGTGGCCTCGTCCTAACACTGGCCCTGGTTTTGTTTCCAAGAGATGAAAGGGGTTTAGCATCATCTGTGAGCCACCCTAGTTCTCTCAGTATTAAGGAAAGCTGGGTGATTCCCAAATCCGCCCCCAGCTGTCACTATTGGAAAAAGTGCTGGCTTCCTTCCACACCCATCTGCTCCGGCGCTGGGTTACTGTGGCATTCAGGTCTGCGTCCGAGTCTGTACATCGTGTGACCACGCGGCTGTGATTGCTCAGTTGGCATCAATGGGGGCAGAACAGCAAGGCAACAGCCAAAGTTGCCTTGCAGTGTGGAGACCCACACAGACTCTTCGGTTCGGGAATTGGGGTCAGTGCGGTTGGAGCTGGGGGGAGCTGCACATGTTCCTGGGAGACTGAGCAGCAGGAGACTGCACCGTGACAGCGGTCCTCATCTTGGCTGCACATTACAATCACCTGAGGGCTTTCAAAAATACCCATGGCTGGGGCCTGCCCTCAGCTTTTCATTTAATTGGTCTGGGGAGAACCAAGTCATTGGGATTTTTAAAAAATATTTATTTATTTATGCATACAAGAACTGGGGTACAGGCAAGAGGTGAGAGGATTCACCAGAGACAGAGTGGGGAGCAGAACAGGTGGATTGACTGAAATCCACTGCTGAGGGGAGCAGCGGCTACGCTCAACCCCTTGCACCACCAGGGAGGCCCCTCATTGGGACTTTTTAATGCTCCTCAGATGTTAATAAGGTATACAAAGTGGAAAGCCACCACGCCCTCCATGACTCAGGGGTCAGCTGAGGCACCTCCTGAAGGGCATGGGAGCAGATAATGGATCTGAAGGGTCAAGTGAATGGTCGCTATGATCTTTGGTTAATATCTTTTCCTGTCAGAATTGGTAGCAGTGGGAGGGAGGATGGTGAGGAGGACTCAGTATCTCCATGAGATCTGGACAGTGCTGTGTCCCAATAATAGGCATTATTGATGCTGGAAGCTGAGTATTCATTTTTCCACTGAGTGCCCAAATTTTTTGTTGAGTTTTGTTTATAGTTTACAAATCTGACCCCTGCTTGTAATCAGATTCAAGTCTAAAGAGCCTCATGGGTTGAATTTCTAAATATATTTTAAACATTAACCCAGGAGTTTCTTCCAAAATATATATTCTTTCTGGGGTATACCTGTTAGGTATTTTGGGGTGTGTTCTGAATATCTTCAAGGATATGTTTCTGCTATAAGTTTTAGTCTGGACTGTCAAATCCCTCATGGACATCAGTCTCAATTCCAAAGCCATCACCCCTGCCTTCAGAACTCCCCTCCATTTCAGAGCTGGCAATAAGAGAGCACCGATGTGAAGAAGGGCTGATGCTGCCTCTCAGGTCGTCAGTGACCATAATGACGTGAAAATCTGGAACAGTTTCTATCTTCATTACTCTAATAGGGCTTTGAGGACTATTAGGGTAATGAAGATTAATAGTTCCATTAGTCTTTCACG